CAAGATACAAACACTTTTTCAATACTCTTACACGATTTTTCAATATTTCAACCGGTTTTTACTAATTTCCATAATAAAATCATTTTTTAAATATGTGTTTTATTCCTTAACTATACATATTATTTACAGTCCTTGCTGTCATTACCTTTATTAGTTATTTTTTCACTGTATAAAATTTAAAATATACAGCTTTTTTGGCGATTTTTGCACTTTTCAATTGCTTCTATTTTTGTAATCGCTTTATAGAAAATTTTGAAATTTTGCATTCTACCTAAAAAATCAATTATCTTTTGAACGAGATATTCGGAATTACTTCAAATGTTTGGGGGCCGGAGAAATCGACCCCCGAAATTCGGCAACTCTGATTTCTATACATAGTCAGTGGCTCTTTTACTTGGCGGGCAGTCTTACAAAATTTCGTTAAAGTCTTATATTTTGTTAGTATGCCTACTAAGGAAAGACATATCTTTAGCAGATAAAGCAGATTTGATATATTAAAGACTTACAGTAAATAGTGGAGTTTGTTAATTTTGATCGAAAACCAAACCACGCAGTAAATTTTTATGAACATTTGATATGATTAAAATTAACAGTCCCAAGGTAACTCTAAAAGTCTCGTTAGAATACAGAATAAATATATCCCAGGAGCTTAGCAAATGCATTTGAACTGTCTCATAAATAGTCTATCAAACGATTACTAATTTTCTCAAAGTATTTAAATATTTGTGTAAATATTAAATACATTTTTTATGAAAAGGAATAACTTGTAATATAGTTTATCAAACAGTTTTTAGTAATTCAGTTTACAATTACGCAATTTTCTGATATATCATGAATTATCAGTTAGAAAATCTAGTTTTTATTATTTTATATAAAGCAAAATAGGTTTAAGATATAGTATAAATAAAGAACAGTTTAGGAAGACATATCCACTAGAAAATTTCTTATATTTTGTAATATATTTTATATGTAACAAATTAATAGAATTTCTTACATATCTATGGTGATATTTATGAAAACTTGTTACCAATCTAATTTAATCAATGAAATATTAATATGTATTATCCTTTTCTGTAGACAAAACTGTGGAGTCAAAATAAAATTTTGTGGTTCTCTATCTGATTTTGACTCTTTCAAAATCCTAATTTAGTGTTGAAACGTTGAAATGAATAATGTCCATGCTCAAATGCCAAGTGAAAACACTATTGGAATGGAATTTGTATTATAGGCTAAAAATACACAATTAATTTGACTACCTGTGCTGGATATTTTTAAAACGGACACTTGCTCCTGCTCTATAGAAATCTCTGGTTTCTATAGGAGCTCTATAGAAGTCTCTGGTTTCTATAGAGCAGGAGTTTCTAATATAGGTTTCTATCTATAGTTCCAGGTTTCTCTTTCACAATCTCGTATATGGATTTTTGAAATATGCATATAGCAAACTTTTCCAAATTATTAGGATAGTGAATAAATTACGGAATTTGTTGTAAAACTCTTTTTTATAATAAATTACATTGTTTTATCTAACAAATTTTGCAGAATATTACATTATACTATAATGATTTCGCATATGACAGGTTAAGCGGCATTATAACTCCAAGTATTTCACTTAAAGAAGATGCTATTTCTGAAAAAATATCATCTTTTTACGTTTATGTTAATTGTTTATGATGAATAGCATATTGGAGCATAAAAATTCTTCATTTCAATAAATATCCTCCGATATGAATAACAACACGTTAATACGAATAAAATAAATTTAAAGGATAATATAAAGAAAAATATAAATAAATTTGTAAAAAAATCACAAAATTTAATTCAAATATTACATTTTTATTGATAATTTTAGTGTGAAAAGTATTTATAGAATATATTAAATATTGCATATATAATTTTACGAAGGCAAATTTTATTAGATAATTTGAATAAAAAATAAATTGATGGTTTCTAAATGTGGATTTTTTTTCATTTTTACAACATTTATTTTACGAGTATTTTATTGGAAATTCATATAAATTATTTTTTTATTACATTTCTTTGTTAGAATAAAATTTATAATCTTCTTTTAATGCTCATACTAGGATATTTATACTTTTAAATGTCCTTGTTATTTTTCTATGGCCAATATCACACAGTTATAAATGATTATTCAAAAGAATATTGATAAATAGTAATGCGATTACATTGTTAAAAGATTCAATGGAGAGCATTTTATAAACTTTCTAAAAACCAGACATTCGTTGTAATGAATATAAATATTCTTATATCTTTCTTCCATTTCAATAAATTTAATTCCTTTCTTTGTTATAAACTTCATTTTATTGAGTATTATTTTTTTTATTCTTGATTTATATAATATTTTATCAGAAAAAGAATAATAATATCAAGAAATATTTCCATCTGTTGATATTTTTCTTGGTTTTTCTGGACGATTGCCCAATTAAAAACGCTCTGAATATTTTTCTGAAATGTTTAAATTTTTATTTTATAAAATATTATATTTGCTTTTAAGCAAGTATATTTTAAAAATTAAACTCTAAAATTTAAATTTTCTATTAAAAACCCTACTTTTAATTTGAAATTTAATTTAAATGTCAATTCTAACTAGAGATTAACGTGTAATTGGAATAATTAATTATAGTTTCAGTTAAATATAGAAAATAAATGTTAAGTTAAAAAAATATTTTGTTAATTAAAGTGCTTAATTTAACTCCTTGAATGTAATTATTTATTTATAACTTTCCAATTAAAATAGCTAGAGATTAATTAATATAGAAAACTCCCCAAAAGTCAATTAACCCAGCTGCGTAAAAATTTTTAAACCGGTTAACTGATTTTTGGGCTTATTAATTTATTTTCTTAAATTATATTGATTTTGTTAAAAGTTGTATTTTACAACTAATTACACAACTCTTACACATTTATAGGATTAAATAAACATTAAGAGATACTTTCAAGAAAAGGTCAATGACATTAAAATTCTTAAGTGCATATTAAACATAAGAATTATATTAAGAATTCTTCACTGGGAATACATTAAAATATTGAATATTTATAAAATTGTATATATGTTTCTTTTCAATTCCTCTAGAAAATGCTAAATAGAATTCAGACTGTTGAGATTCAAAAATAATATAAAATGTATGTTTAAAGCATCAAATACTATTTCCTTTTGAAGTAACATCTGTTCTTTATGATATCTTTAAGAATAAGATATAACATGTAAGGAAATTTTTATCATTTTTAAAGTACAAATTTCAGGAAAAAAATCCATAAAAAAAATCCTTTTTGTGCCATTTCTTAACATATTCTTAGTTCAGAAAGTGATGATATGTTGTTATGAGAGTCTATTTCTGATCTAAAGGCATCTCTAGTCTGATAAGATCTTGATCATATTATTCATGAAGTGATTATTCTGCTTCACTTGATCAAAATCACTTCGCATAATCTAAGTGATTGCAGAGATTTTTTTCTGTTTGTTATAAGCGTAACATATTCATAGATCTGAATAAAATATATTGCTGACAAAATAATATAATTAATTCAAACAAAATATGTTTTATTAGCGAATTAAATAATATATATTATTATGAAATATATGTTACTTACACGTAAATAAATACATATTTTTATATGCTATTATGTATTACTATTTATTAAATTTCCTGATTGAGTTTAATTAATAAGTTAAAATACATAAATGATGGCCCAGAAGTTAGTTAACTGTTGTCGAGAGTAAATTACTGCCTTATTCAATGACTTTATTGCTTGCTTACGAATCTCGTAAAAGTTTCTCGAAATGAGATCCTTCTTATCCAATAGATAAATTACAAGGCTTTGACATTCAGAAATTGCTGAATTTCTGGCAAATTCATTATGTTAACTTGGCTACTTTCTGATTAAATACATAAAATAATATCTTAAAAATTTAATTTAAGAAATTATTATTTGTTTTAGGTGAGAAAGGATAAATTTTAATGAAAATGGTTTTTTTTAATATGTATAGCATATATAGAGAGACGATTCTCGATATAGTTAACTCTCAAAGGACTGAACTAAATCATTCACTTTGTCTAAGAGTTAATTACATACAACGAATGGCAGAGAAAAATAAAATTGTTTATTATATCAAAAATTTACTATATACGGCATTAATATCTTAACCCTTAACTGATGCTTTGGATCCACTGGACCCATGACACATGTCACATTTTTGATGTCTCGTATCAACCACTGACGCATCTTTATCTTAGATTTGATGACGCTACTGATTAAATTATATTATATTTTAAATATTTGAATTGTTTATAAATTATATCAATAAAAATATCTTAATATATATAATAAAATTTTAAGTATTATCTATTTTAAAATAAACAATTCTGTAATTCTTTATAATGTAAAGAAATGTTTTTATTTACAGAAAGATTAGTATCTTTTCATAGAAAATATATCAAATATTAAATGTAATCAAATTTTATTTTCTAGTTTTCTTAAAAATTTGATAAAATAAACTAATAAAAAATTAAATTTTTTATTTGATGATGATTCTTTTTATTAGCAATTTCTGTTTATTTATGTTTTTTATACTGCTCTATTCGTGTAAAAATGTATTATTTATGCGTAGAAAAGATATTTTTTCAAATATTAAATATTAAAAATGTAAAGAAAGCGAATTTAAATACTACCTTTTTAAATAATAATACAAAGATAAAGTGCTTATTCATTGATTTTTCAAAGTAAATGAACTAAATATTTATTAAAAAGATACAAAGCTTCAATTAGAATATTTAATCTTTTATGTAAATATCTTTAGACAGTAAAATAAATATTGTGATAATTAAAATAATTACTCTAAAATAGCTTGAGTAATTGATGATCTGCTTTAACACTAGTATGTTAAAATGTCACTTTTTTCATAATGAATTTTCTTTAAAAATATCTTGAAAAGAGATGATATATTTGAAAATTATTATTTAAAAAAAAGTTCTTTTTATTAGATTTTTTGCAGTGGTACGTCCTTTGAAACCAAGACCACAAAAGAGACGAATATTAATCGTTATCGTGATTATTTGGAGTTCGGGGATTCTCTTATCTTCTCCAACACTTATCTATTCTACTACCGAGACATATATTTTACCTACAGGCACGAGAACCTTATGCTTCTTGATTTGGCCAGATGGATACAGCTCACTTTCTATCACTGATTATGTGTAAGTCTACATTCATTTATATCAATGATTGTATGTACTGTGCTTCTATTAATAATTACTAATAAATAACCGCCTTTCTGACATTCATTTTCTATTATTGATTACATGTAAGTTATAGATTACATGTTGATTATGTGTACTTCATAGCTTGTCTCCGATATCGATTATGTTAAGTTTTAGCTCGTTTTCTGATATTGATGTATGCAACAATTCGTTTTTGTTAGTAGTTTTAACTACGAGTAAGAGAAATCGCAACCTATTTATATAGGGCGTCTCAAAATTCTAGATACGCGTAAGGTAATGTCTGTATGGATGACGGCGGGCAAAAATAAACAATGGAAGTATATATTGCCGAAAACAATGGTCACCATAAAGTTGACCTCAAAGGGCATTTTCAAGATCGTTCAAAAAATATCTTTAAAACCGTTTCATCCGAGACCAAAAAATATCAACTAGAAACTTATAGAGGGTATAAAAATTAGTAAGAATACGTATTTCTTTGGTACATAAACGTGAAGATAAATGAAAAATCATTTAAAAACACCACCAAAATTTTATGTCATGCAGTGAAGAACCTTTGATTCTTTCTTCCGATTTGGAACATTGTAGGTGTTTCACCGCGTGACAAATTTTGCTCGCGTTTTACTTTCCCGTCTTTTATACATACATAACAAGGGAAAGTAATGAAATCGTGTCAAATTTGACACTCCGAGATTTTTGCAAATCTCCACGTTTTGAGACCTCCTGAATCCAAAAGAAAAATAAATGAATAAAACGACAAAAAAATTCCGTGAATATGTATATATGTGTGTGTGTGTGTTTGAAGTCTTTCGCTTAGTATCTCATAGTAAGGTAAACATTGAAAAAAGAAATTTGACATGATGGCCTATATATGAGGAGCTTTGATGTTATTAAATTTTAGTGGTTAAAGGTCCAGGGGCGGGGAGATAGAGGGGCGTGTGTCATATCTCGAGAATGTAGAACTTAATAAAGATTTTATTCGTTGCTAACATTTATAGTTTTTCATGAAACACATTCCTATCCTCAAAATTAAGCTTCTTGCCATTTTATAGTAATTAAAAATATTAAAAGTTTTATAAACAAAAATCTGATAACAGATGGTGTCACACGCAATTTTATTTACAGTAGCGCCTCGATTATCCGACCCCCGATTAACCGACACCTCGGTTAACCGACCGTCCTAGTCGGCAAATTTCAAATGTCCGCTAGTGATGTGGCGCTACAATATTTGGCTATGTCTTGGCTACTTTAATATTATTTTTAAGTGTTTTAGCTGGCAACACTGGATCGACCATGAAAGGGAGTCAACATTTAAACGAGGCTTAATTTTCTAATTTTTAACGATACAATAACGACAATTATTATTTTAAAAAATTTTTGTTAGGCTTAACATCAATGAAAATTCAACGCGAAGTAGGTTAATAGCGATATACTAATATATTAATTACATGTGATATAATAATATAATATACTACACTAATAATGGATTTTTCATACTTTTCGGTTATCCGACTTTTCATTTATCCGACCAACCCCAGTCCCCAATTGAGTCGGATAATCGAGGCTCTACTGTATTTCGTAAAATAATATAAAAGTTATTTTTAAAGTAAAAACTCATAACAGCCGGGAAAGTTATGCAACTCGTTGCTGAATTTTTTGGATTATTTTTCGTTTATCTTCTCGTCTTATGTACCGAACAAAATCTTATTCTTGCCAATTTTTGTATACTCAACAACTTTGTATTAATACTTGATATTTTTCGTCTCGGATGTCCCTTCGAGGTCAACTTTATGGTCACCATTAAATTTAGCACGCATCATAACATATACTCCCATTGTTTATTTTGGCCTGCTATCATCCGTTGAGACATTACATTACGTGTATCTAGACTTTTGGGACATCCTGTATAACTCACTATTTACTATGAAAAATATATAAAATGTCACCATCAAAAAATTATATTAGACAATTAATTTCAGTTATTAATATACAGGGTGAACCAAAAGTAGGTGGACAGTAGGTGGAATAGGGTTTGTTTTAGGTTTATACTATAACAATGCTGTATATTTAATTTGGTTATGGTTATGGTTGAAAAATTACATCAGAGAGACATTTTAAGAAATCAATACACAAAGGTACTTGTGCAAAAATGTTTGTCGAAGCGTCAAATGGTGAAATTAGATTTCGAAGCTGCGTAAATTGTGATGGACAGCAGTTTGATCACCTGCATTGATAAAATTGTAATGTATTGTATTAGTAAATATAATTGTATATGTAATCTCAATACATGTATCATTTACTATCAACCTACTTTTGGTTCGTCCTGTATTTTAATACTCAATCTTACATTAAACTTGGAGAAATTATTTTCTTAAGTTTTTCGGGTCAAAATATAAATATTTCCAACAATACTTCTTCCAACAAACATAAAATACCTTTCAAAGAATTTAACCTTAGAATTTTTTTTATATTTAGAATTTATATACGTTTAGCTTTTAAACTGAATATTTTTGACCTTTCAAATGTTTTCAAACAAAATAGACTGCAAAGGTTATTCAAAATCCATTATCCTATATACAGATTCTTGACACAGTGATCGAGTTTCGATATCCAGTGAACAACCTTGTTTGTTTTGGATATTCTTTACCCATTTACTCTGATATAGCGATTGATTTAGTTCAATTTTTTGAGAGTTCACTATATCGAGAGTGCACTGTAATATTTTAAAATATATTTTAAGTGTAAAAACTTTATTTTCTTCTATATATCAGCTTTCTATTAGTAAATAAAGTGGATTCTTGACGTAGTAAACTCTTACGAAACTGAGCTAAATCATTCACTATACTAAGTATTCACTCTATATACATAGAATAACAAGGATCAACAAAAAACTGTACACTCGATTTAGTGACTACACAATATGGGGAATCACTATATCAAGAGTCTACTGCATATATAAATAAGGCTGCTTTTATTGATTATGTGTAAGTAATAACCAATTTCTAAAATTCATTATGTGATAAATACAGACAATTATTCAGACAATTATACTAAATATGAATAGCTAATTATAATCTTTTTTAGTTAGAATTCTGTTTACCTTCTAAATTATAATTATAGAAAATATACTCATTCTTTTCTGTAATTTCTAGCTGAAACAAAAAACATTGTTTACTTTTGAAGTTACATTTTAGATGTTTTTGTAAATAAATAAAAAGATATATATAATTTCCTGCTTCCACTTTCTAACAGTAAGGTCTTCTTATAACAAGGCGAGTTTATATATATATACGAAAGCAGAATAAACCTCACTAGTCCATAGGGTAATGTCAGTATATATATCTCGTTCAAGAAAGTTTGATATAAAAACAGTCGACGTCCTCATTGCTCATCCAATAGCTGATCGTGAATGTTTCCTGGAGAAATGCTACGTTCTTGATATAGGCAACTTGGCACGAAGCAGCGACACCGTAACTGAGCTGTATGAATTATTACTTTTTTTATTTCTTTTTATTCTGCATACCCCATAGGAAAAAAGAGATTTTCTGATTTTGTTCTTCAGATTTCCTTCTCAGCTCACGTAAAGATAGACTTGTTCTCACAATAGGCCTATAACCAAAATTCCAATTCTATGTTTCGAATATGACATTCAACTAGAATAAAATATCTTTGTTTACTAAAATTTTATTAAATTATACTTATAATTTTAGTAAATATATAATAAAAAAAACAAGCAATTATTTATTGTGACAGTCCCACAATGCCGAGCTGAAATTTTTTATCATATTTTTCATTTATTTAATTTAAAATACATGCTGTCCATCTTATTAGTAGTGGTTTGCCCCTGTACATCATACTTTTCCTTTAACAAGAGAGTCGTACCGGTTTTCTATTAACTCCTTTCAGGGGAAACGTTTTGAATTGGAATAACGTGACTTTCGGTTTGTATCGGAAGTTCATATACAGTTAGTTGGGTTTCTTTATCTGGTCTCGTCTTTCATCTATCTAGCTCCGTTGTCGAGATTAAGGAAAGACGGACGGACGGACGGACGACAGAGAGAATTTATAGGTCTACAATTTTTTCAAATTGCAGCCCTGAATAATTATAACTTAAATAAATTAAAGCTTCTTTTTTAAATATCAAACTTACATCCTTAACAATGTGTACGCTTTATTAATTTTCTCATCCTATTGTTACTTATGATGTTAATTTTAGTTACAAGTAAGTACTGGGAAATTAATTCAAGTAATTATGTAAATTTTATCTTTAGTTTAACGAACATTACAAACTTTCTACATTTTTAATGTTCATTTCTTGTTACAAATTGTGTAAAGTTGTGTAAAAATTGTTAAGAGTTAATAAGAGGTTCCAAGTGATATCACACATCTTTAGTTTCTATCTTATAAACTTTATAATATACTGTACACAGTTATACATAATTGTGATATTACCAAAATTTAAAGTATGTATAACTGTGTACATAACGAAGTTTATAAGATAGTACTGTACTAAAGTTCTGTGATATCCCTATATACATTTTGCCACTACCAATCTAAGAAGCTATAACAGATATCGAGTCGAGATTCTATATTTACTTTGACGTCAATTTGTTTGTCTATTCGCAAGATTTCTCGGAAACTAATAAAGCTGAAGTTAGTAGATAGTGATGTAATAGCTAGAGTTATATTTCATTCAACAAGTTAGCATTTGTTTCATGTTTGATATATAAAAAGTTTATAAAAATGAAATTGCCGAAAAATTGAACTAAATATTTCACTGTATCAAGAGTTCAGTATATAGGCTTGCATAAAGAACAGCAAAAATCAATAAAATCATTCGCTATATAGAAAATTCACTATATCAAATGCTCACTATATCAAGATCATGTTGCATTTTCGCAGAATATACAATTTTTATGTAAGTTAAGCCAGAGAAGGGGGTTTTTAAATTTAAACTTTTAACTTATAATTTCTTAAAT